TTTTGATTGAGGATGAAGCGCATGCCTGTCGTCAGAAAAGTTGCCAGGAAGTCATAAACTCTCCTGAAAAAAGAAAAGATGACAGACAGATTTCTGATTGGTCCACTGGATGATCACATGACTGAACGTTCTTCATCATTAGATGTTGACAGACGAGGTGAAAACATCTGAATCAGTGGAACGAGCTGTGAAAACTTGTCGACACGTTTCGTCACTGATCTCTTCACCGGTCCTATAAACGTATAAACGATGTTTCGTGAATAATAACGACATCAGTGTTTTACCCGAGCGTTCCGCTGAACTTTGCTTTCATTTTGGAGATTCTGGCGTCGCAGGTGATGTTATTGATCTTCAGTCGTCCTTCATCGTCTCGGATCAGATTCAGAGCCGTGTTGATGTTCACTCCTTCGGCCGAAGCGTTGATGTTTCCTGTGTCGTAGCTGAGACACGTTGTTAGTGAGGATTACTGCGTTAACTCATAAACAAGATATAATAATGTAGCAGAACTATCAGTCTGCAATCACAGTGTTGTGTATATCTGTAACTATGTAATCTGAATCCATTAGAAAACTTGTGTTCTGATGGAGAACTCACAAGAACCAGTAAAGGATCCGTCGGTGGAAACTCAATGTGATCGATGAGTTCTGAACATCGAACAACAAACCAACTTCAGGGATGAATCGTAGATCAGCATGAGTCAGATTCAACTCTGTGATCTTCACACTGATGACACACAAACAGTGTTAATGAAGGTTGGATCAAACATCACATGCGGTGGTGCAGCGTTCCAGGTTCTTACTCAGTGATGGTGTACTGGAACCGTCCCTCTTTGCCCCTCATCTCCGGCATACTGATGTTACTGAGCTCCTCTTCCACAAACTTCTGAGTCTCAAACTTCACTGAAAAGACAAAACGTCTGTTAAAAAAAAACGTATCAAAAAGCCACTGAGGCACCAGTTCAGTCGTACTCAGGTAATTAAAGAAGTCCATTGTCCTCGCTGAATTCACGGTTGGGTAGATTTATTTTCCCGTTCAAAAGCAAAGATACACATGTGCTCCTCCTCGTGCTCTGGTGAAAAAAACATGTCCCTTCCTGGTGCATCCCGTCATTAACACACCTGCACCACTGTGAATCCTAGTGTCTAAAACTATAAATGCAAAAATAACAAATAATCATATATCAAACTAATGAAATAGCTCCTAGACACAACAAATGTTACTGGTTCTACTGATGACTGATAATATACATATAACATAGTTAGTAATAATACTACTACTACTTCAGTGACCTTTGGTTGAGGGATGTAGGGGTAGTGCAGTGTATTCAGGACCCCTTTAAAACGAAGGGGGAGACACACACTTCCAAATCCTTCACGAACGGATGAAGAGAATCAACATGGCGACCGGTGCGGATAAAATGCTCATAAATGTAAATATGAAATGTTCAAAATAACCATGAAAAAATCTTTAAACCCAAAATAAAATGTGATGGAATCACCGTGAGAACCTTTTTAAGTTGTTACAGAGTCCGTTAAATGAAGTTTAATAAAAACTTCCCTGCTCATGTTTTGAGGGTTTCGGTGCAGGGCAGACGTTTTACAGACTGACTGCCAAGATTTCTGAGATTGGACCATACAGCTGGAGGAAGGAGCCGATATGGTGAGTAACCCTCGGGTCAATGACAAGGACCTCAGTCTTATTTGTTCCTAACTGTAAACACTTGATGTCCATCCAGTCCTTCATGGCATCAGGCAGCTGTGCATAGTTTCAAGTCTGGTTCTTTCTCCCAGTTTTCTCTCTCTCAGTCGTCAGAGCTGCTCATTGTGGGATCTGTTGCTTTCTCTATAAATGTTAAGGTCTTGACCTTCTATGTAAAGAGCCTTGAGATAATGTCAATAATGATTTGGTGCTATACAAATAAAATTGAATTGAATTACAAGTTTGTTAGTCTCATCAGGTTTGAATGAGAACGTCGTCCATGTGGTGATGCTACGAGACCCCTTTAAAACTGTAAATAATATGACAGTAATTATAACGCAAATAATACAGGATCTAAGCCAGAACCCTGAGGCACACCACATGAGAGAGCAGTGATTTCTGACATGTAGAGACAGAGTGACACATAAGAACTCTATAAGATAAATGACAGGAGAATCAGTCCAGAGCGCTCCCAGAGACACCCGCCCACCCATCAGGATACTATGATCCACAAGGGACGTCTGGACTCTGCTCTACCCACTAATCCTCAGATAAGTGCAAGTGTGGTTTATTTCTAGATTATAGTTTTATCTGGATTATATCTTAAATATAGTTTGTTGTTATAACCTGGATTAAAATGTACTCACGCATCTCCAGTCCTTTGTCAGTGATGCGGATTTTGCAGCCAGCAGGTTCTGCGGCAGCCACGATGGATGACACCAAAGACATGATGAGGAGGAGGGACAACAGAGAGGAAGTCATCCTGAACCGGAACATGTCCACCTGACACACAGAGGACAAAACATTCACATTAGTAATGAAAGCACCTCAGTGTCTCTGTGCTGTCAGGTTGGTGCAGAGATTCTGGTTGAGGTTCGGGTCAAATCTCTACGACCACTGTCTACAGACATCATGTCCAACTGTCCACAAAGTTTCCAACTGTCCACAAACTGTCCTTTGGTGTAAACAGCACTCTGCAGGTCAAAGGTCACAGTGAACAGTTTGATCTTTTCTTCCTCCTGTGGTTTCACAGCAGCTGAACATTCTGAGGCTGTCGTCCATAAACAGTTCAAGTTGAACTACAGTAACCTCTGTTTCACCACACACACACACACACACACACACACACACACACACACACATTAATCATCAGGTCTGGAGCCTTTCAAGAGCAGTCCTCACAAATCCAGACGTGCAGGACCACACACACACACACAGACACACACACACACACACACACTCTTACTCTCTAATCTGTGTGTTTAATCACAGCTCAGTGACGACAGCCAATCAGCATCCAGCTGCTGCACCCACATCTGGACATCTGCTAACGTCTCATTAAGAGCCGACATTTCAAAGGAGGGCGATTTACGGACACGTCAGACTGAGCTCCACATGGTGGAACAGGACCTGGCTAGCTGGTTAGCATGCTAACTCGAGCAGTGGAAAGGAAGAGCGGGTTGTCCACTAACCAGAGGGTCACTAGTTTGATCCCTGGCTCCTCCACTCTGACACTGAACCGCCCCTGATGACAGTGATGTGTTAGAAAAGTTTAAATAGCTCTGATTGGTCAAGAACAGTCACTGACGTAACGCCAACGCCTCCTGGTGACGGGAATGAATTTGGACTCTGAAATGTAACGCAAACATAGTTTGATAGCCGTAAATACAATATTCACTACCACTAGATGTCGCACTAGAGCGCCAGCGTGTCAGATCAAAACAAATACTTCATCAGCCCCTCACCAGCACAATAAAACAACACATCGTCATGACAACGCTAACAGTCAGTCAGCGGCAGCAACAGTAAAACGTTCATAAACAAAAACCGGTTGGAGACTTTGAGTGACTCGTGCGTTGTCTTTTCTTGGAAAGTTAGAACTTTTCTGGAACCTTTTTATCTGAACGACGTGAAGCAGAGGAAAATTACCTAAAGCATCGTTTCTTAATGTGATGAGGTTTGACAGGAAGTAAAACACAGGAAATCACATAAACATAATTCTACCAACAAAGTGACCAGAAACCTCTGATGAGTGAATTCATCTGTGAACATTCACGTTTCTGTATTTTGTTCTCCAGCAATTGTTGGCTACAACTTAAACTTTAAACTTTTTATATATATATAGCAACTTTAATATATAACTCACCTGTCTGTCTCTCTGTGTCTGTGTTTCTGTCTGCCTGTCTGTCTCTCAGTGTGTCTGTCTCTGTGTGTGTGTGTGTGTCTCTCAGTGTGTGTGTCTCTC